AAATTAAAATATAGAAATTCAAAAATTTTAAGTGAAAAGACAAAAATATACTTAAAAATTTATTAAAATTAAACTATTTAAATATATAATAATATTATTACAAATAAATTAGAATATATAAAATAAAAATAAAATAACTAAATAGTTTAAAAATTAAAAGAATAAAATATCATAAATATTATTTAAATAAAATATTAAAAATATAAAATATAAAAAACTGTACCGGTACCCTCTCAAATAAGATGGGTACCATAGAATTTCTCCTATTTTAAGGAGAAACTTTTTGGCTCATAGTGTTCCTAATTAACGATGGATGGAATGCGCTGTTGGCCACTGTTATTTCAACCATAACAATGAACAAGTTTGGAAGAAGTAAAATAAAATAAGTACGTGGTTGAAATAATCACTGACGTGTTAAAATTTTATTAACTTTAATAATCCAACGGTTTGAAATTAGAGAAGAGCACCGTAACGTTCGCTTTCTTAAGTTAAAGAATCTGAATCTTATTTAAAGTCTGATGTAATTTTTTTCTTATCTTTGATATTGTTAATGATGTTAGTAAAATTAACATGACATTTGTGTGTTTGAATAACCGTTTAAATCCTTTCAAATGGAAGTTTTGCACGTCATGCATAAATACACAACAAAATTTAATTCATAATCAACTTTGGAATACTCGTAGCTTGTTTGCAAATCTAATTCATAATCAACACTGGATCACACAAAATTTTATCCAAATTGACTCTACTGGTCAATGAAATACTTGTGTTTACCAACTTTCTCTGCGTCCAGTGATGGAAACTCGCACGTACCTCACATCTTGAGCTATATATCATACTGAAACAAGTTGTTTTATTTTTATATATATTAGTTCTTTATATAATTGGATTTCACTCTTAGGGATTATCGTCACTTTTGTCCCATTTTTCCTGCACTTATTTGTTTGAATTGTCACTAAATGTATGGATGGACAAACATAAACGATGAGATCTAATCTAGTTCTTTGCTCCTCCACGTCACTCGCATGTGTCAAACTTCTTAGCTTACTATGTACCGAAAAAAAAATTCTTAGCTTAATTCAGTGACAGACCATAACGTAATATATAACATATATATGTTAACAAACTTATTTCTACAATTACTACAAACCATAGGTATATATATATATATGTTGTAGTAAGAGATGTTACATATGGTTGAATTCCATCTAAAAATTTACAATAATATTGCATATACGTCAAATAGGCTTACACTCACAAATATGAAATTTTAGTCTGACTCAAAATGATATCATATTAGAAAAAATTTCTGGGGTAGTACAACGAAGATTTGATTAATGCCTTCTTTTATTTTATTATATTGAAAGTAAATTGCATTTTAAGATAACTTGAAAAGATACGTCAACGACGACAAAGAGTTTCTGATACAAGTGTGTGTATATATATATAAAGCTGAGCCGGCCATATTTCTTAGCTTATGACCAATTTTGCATATATATATATATATATATATATATAT